ATGGTAGAGGAAATGCTAAGGCTGGCTTTTTGTCTTATTATTTTATTTTTGAGACAGGGTCTTGCTCTGTCACCCAGGCTGGAGTGCGGTGGTGCAATCTCGCCTCACTGCAGCTTTGACCTCCTGGGTTCAGGTAATCCTCCCACCTCAGCCTCCTGAGTAACTGGGGCCACAGGCACGCACCACCATGCCAGCTAGTTTTTGTATTTTTTGTATGGATGGGGTTTTGCCATGTTGGCCAGGCTGGTCTCAAACTCCTGAACTCAAGTGATCCGCCCACCTTGGCCTCCCAAAGTGCTGGGATTACAGGCGTGAGCCACTGCACCCCGCCCCACTTGTCATCTTTAGTACTTTGGGGTCCTCTTCTGTGTCTAGAGACAATCATACAGAATAGCCCTGGTGATTCTTGGCCGGGGAGCAGTTTGCAGGTTTTTACTTCTGGACTGTTTGATATTTTTTACTTATCCTTAAAACCAAAATCCTCATGCAGCCATGTCTGCCGCCCGCCCTGCACACATGTATGCCAGCTGAGAAGCGTGGTTCACGGTATTCTGCATTTTAATATTAATAGCTCAGTCAGATGATTTCCATGTTTTCGCAGATGTCACACTTCCATTACTAACTAGTCATTCCATTTGGGGCCTGTCTCAGTATTTCGCCAAATCCCCTGTTTGGGGACATTTACATTGTTTCTAGGTTTTTCCTCTTAATATACAGGATAATAGTACAGGAGAATATTTGTGCATCAACTTGTTTATGGTGGTTTTTGAGACTTGTTTTTGTTGGTGTATATCTGTAGGAGTAAAAGGAATCAAGTGAAAGAGTCTGCATGTTTTTAGGGCTCTTGGAACATCGTGGCGGCGTCAGGGCCCTCGTCCACCCCCACTTGCCTATTCCAGGCCGTCTGTAACACACGGCGTGGAGGAGCCAGGGAGGACATTGGCCCTGGAATTTGATCCTGGGGTTTATTTCTTGCTCCCCAGGGACCCCTTCAAATCAGCATGCTCCTCTGGGAGGATTAAAGGGCTGCTTCCTGTAATGTGCTTTGAAATGATGCTCCAATGAAAGATGGTGGGTAAATAGAAAGTGACACCATCATCTCCGTCCCAGGCCCCTGTCTTTTTTTTTTTTTTTTCCTGGCTGCTGGATCACATATAATTTGCTCTCCACATGCCCCTCTTGTTTTCATGCTCTTGCTACTTTCATCGCCTTCACCCTGGGGTCTCCCAGGCAGGTTTTCCTTGTCCTCTAGACTTTGGTTTTGGTGTGCAGCCATTCCTGTCCAGGGATGCTGGCCAGGGCTCCCTATTGAGCATCATTTGGAACCCCTGGACATGTGAGAAGACACGGCAAAGCCAGCCCCCTGCTTGCTCCAGCAGCTGACCCTGCATCGCCAACTTAGGGATGTAGTTTCCTTTTTAGAGGTTGATGTACTGCTCTCCACATGCATTGCTAAAACCCCTCCAACATGACTGCCTCTCTCAGCCTTACCATTTAATCCAAAGAGAGCAGAGTGTGAGGCTCAGAATGAATCCAAATGTGATGTTGGTCATAAAGGTTGGTACCATTCCCCAGGAATGAAGCAGTCACTCTACATGGAATGTGTTAATGCCAAGATCCGCGTCTCCCCGGATCCAGACACACAAATGAGGTGGGCACTGGCCCCAGCACAACTGTGCAGGTGGGCAGCGGTGAAGGGTGTCAGGGAAGAGCCCGAGGCTGGGTGTAAAAGTGTGGGTGTTTTATGCCTGGGCCACTGCCTGCCCCTCCAGTGACACCAGAATAGTGCCACTTTCTATCCTTGCTGTTCTATTGCCTATGTTTAATAAATGCAGACGCAACAGTGAGCCTGGCCTAAAACGAATGAACTTTGTTTTCTGCATCTCAGTTTGTGTTTTTACTTTTTTATTGTTGTTGTTTTGAGTCAGAGTCTCACTCTGTTGCCCAGGCTGGAGTGGTGTGATATTGGCTCACTGCAACCTCCACTTCCCAGGTTCAAGTGATTCTTGTGCCTCAGCCTCCCAAGTACATGGGATTACAGGCATGTGCCACCATGCCCGACTAATTTTGTATTTTTAGTAGACATGGGGTTTCACCATGTTGGCCAGGCTGGTCTTGGACTCCTGACCTCAGGTGATCCGCCTGCCTCGGCCTCCTGTATTTTTAATTTTAAGTATGTGGGTGGGCGCAGTGGCTCATGCCTGTAATCTCAACACTTTGGGGAGGCCAAGGTGGGAGGATCACTTGAGCCCAGGAGTTCAACCTTGAGATCAGCCTGGGCAACAAAGTGAGACCCCCACTCTCTACAAAAAATAGAAAAAAAAGCCAGGTTTGGTGGTGTGCACCTGTAGTCCCAGCTACTCAGGAGGCTGAGGTGGAGGATCCCTTGAGCCCAGGAGGTCAGGGCTGCAGTGAGCCATGATTGTGCCACTGCACTCCAGCCTGGGCAAGAGAGCGAGACCCTATCTCAAAAAATAATAATAAATGTATGTATGTACATGTGTATTGGGGCATTGTGCTAAAAATTAAATGAAACTTGACTTCGTGAAGAGAACCATTCTAAGTTAACCTCATTTTCCTTCTTTTCTTTCTTTCTCTTTCTTCATAACATTTACAAAATAATTGCCAGCAATTTGGTAAGTTCATTAACTGATTCTCTCTTAAGTCCAGGCTGCACATCGCCCTGCTGATTCGTGTGGATTCAATTTGTCCAACAGTTCTATCAATGAAGTCCTCATTACCCTCTCCTCGTGTGTGTAGGGGAGGAAGGTGGTAAATGCAGCCTGAGTGCGCCTTATCTAACTTTTGTTTTTCTCGTGGATCTATAGATTTCCTTTACGGTGCTTTTCTTGCCCATCGTGTGGGGTCTGTCAATAGGATCGTTGCCTCAGCTGCATTTATATTCCTGAGAAGTTTACTCCGTTTATTTCCCCTGGTTCCGGGTTCTCGGAGTTCATTTGTTGAGGTCAAGGACACCATGTTCTCAGGAAAGAAAATTTCAAAGAATGTGGAAAGAAAGAAAGAAAAAAAGCAACAGCTGCACATCACTGATCGGGTAGAAGAATATAAGGATCTCAACATACATCCTGACAGTAACACATGAAGAGTCCTGCCCGCCCTTCCCACCCCGTCTGCCTGTTTGCGGCTGGATTGGAAACGAGCTCCATGTGTGCTGGGCAGGCAGGTTCCTGGCACCGGCAGCTGGTCACTTCTCTTTTCTGCGATCTGCCCCTCCCGTGCTACCAGGTTCTAAGAGGGACTTAGGAACACATTGCTAGTGCTGGCACTGGCTTGTGTGATGTTTTGGGTAGAGGACACGTGTGATTGAAGGCTGGAGTCGTGGAGAGAATCCTGGACTAGAAATCAAATCTGCTGGGGTCTGACCTTGAGGAAGTCGCTTCCCTCAGGGTCCTTATTAGTGATCTGAGGGTCAGTTCATGGCTGCTAAGGACTTTCCCATTCTGAAGCCGCTGTTTCTAAGTAAAAGCAGCGTCGCAGACTTGAGTTAGTGCGGTGTGAGAATGCTGTTCAAGTCCATTCCTTCAGGTATTTCTTGACCTCCTACTGTGTGACAGGCACTGGTGGAGGCTTAGCAAGGAGCTCTTTGGGCCCGTGACCCAGTCTCCAGGTGGTTTCTGTTGCCCTCCTCTTTTCTTCGGTAGGGTTCTGTGGGCTTGTGTCTCATCAAAAACCGCTGCCCCTCTGCAGTTGTTCTGAATCTTGGCTGCAACTCCTGGAAGCTCAGGCTCTGGACCCATTTTCAGGCTTAGCAGCACTTTCCCCAGGTTCTGGCTCTCCAAGGTGAAAGCGCAGCCTCAGGGGAGGGCGCTGGCCCCGGTGCTCAAGGCTCCTCACATGCTGGGCCTTCCAAGTCTGGCTCTGAGAGACCGCCTGCAGGAACGCAGGTGCATTAGTATGCAGGTGTGCTGATAACCCAGCACAAAGCAATTAGCCTGCTGCTCTGCAATTTCTGCCTTTCCCCAGCAAGTGTGGCTCAAGTGTTGGTTCCTTTGTCTGCATGGCCAGCACCATCCTCTCTCCCGCGGGGAGGCCTGGGGGCTCCAGGGGATGCCTCTTCTAACTCTAGGAGTGGTCCGGAGCATCTAGACCAGAGTTGTCCGATAGAACTTTCTAGGATGATGGGAATATAATCTGGTTGTTCTGTGCTATCCTGCACGGTAGCCACCAGCCACATGTGCACTTGCAGTGTGGCTAGCAGCTAATGTATTAGACAGTTCAGATTTGTATGACTATTTTCCAACCTTTTGCAAGGCACAGCAAGTGCCAAAATTAAAGATGAGGCAAATGGTCAGCAGATGAGGTGGCAGGAGCTCCAGCTGTCCCAGGGCTGAGGGGCTCAGTGTCTTCACACACCTGTGCCCAGCCCAGCAGGCTGGGGGGAAGTCCCTGTTCTAGACCTGAGCTGGGGCTGGTGCTGTGACCTGTCTCCACTGAGTTCTTGGCCCTGAGACCTGGGGTAGGTGGAGGGCGTGGGGAAGCGGGCGGTTTTCTGCGTGGTGTCCAGGGTGGTCCGGGGAGCCCGGGAGGCTGACTCAGTCTCATCTCCTCCTGAGGGACTGGGCTCGGAGCTGAATCCCTGATGCCATGAAATTATTTTCCAGCCTGACTCTCGTGTCCTTTAAAGTTGTAGCACACTGCACTTGGTTTTAAGAGCTAAATGTAAGGCGAATACGGAGCACTTTAAATGTGATAGCTCCGAGTTCACGTTGTTTGAGGAGATAAGGAGAAAGGAGCAGGTGCTTTGAATTCACTTATCAGCCTTTTCGCAGGCTCCTGTCCCTCCGCACCCCCCAGCGAGGTGCTGTGATGTTCCACCAGGATCTTGGAATTGGAGGCTTCCCCAGGCTGCGGGGCCACCGTTTCATCGGCTCACCTTGCTGGTAAGGCCAGGGCTTTGTTCCTGGGAGTGCTTGGGCCCCAGGTGGGTGTGTCTGGGAGGCTCCTGCCGGGCAGGGCAGGGAGAGCGGCCTGGCCTGAGAAGTAAGCCCCTGTGACGGGGCTCCTCGAGCCTCTGGAGCCCTGGGGAGAGTTTGCATTTTAAGGTCACATCTCCATCCTCCAGGAGAAGGATGAGAGGGGCCGGCTTTAAGTCCTAGTTCTCGGGTATATAATTAAACAGAGATTTTCCTTCCTGAAGGAACAAAAAGAGGCCAAGGACAGCCTAATTGCAACCTCAAGATTGCTTCTCCAAGAGTGGCCTGAGCAAGTGGGCCGAGGTAGATTTGCAACTCTGGCTGGTGTGGTGGCCTGAGCCAGCGGGGCCCAGGTTCGGCTGCTGACGGCGGTCCACAGGAGGGGAGGGTCTGTTGGGCAGGGGAGCCTCTGCCTTGCTTCCTTTTAGGGTGAGCCTTTGGTTTTCCTGTCCCAAACGGGGGGGCCACGTGGGAGCCAGCAGCACACACTGGCCACCACTGACCACTCCTGCTGTCCTGGCACTCCGCCCGCTCCCAAAGCAGCAGCCCATAGTGACAGGTCGCGAGTGCCATCAGAAGGGTGCACCGCTTTATTTACGCGGCTGTCAGCCAGGCTGGCTCTTCCAAAGTCGCGCATTACCAGACAAGTGAAGGCAAAATAGTGATGCTTTATTAATTGCGGGTATGGCTGCTAATTAGAACCCAGGCCTGGGTTTTTATACCTGTTTACATACACTTGCTCCAGAGCGGAAGGACTTTCTCATCTCTCCTTGCCTCTCCCCCACCCCCAGAAGAGAATTTCAACTTTAAGACAAACAACTTCATTTACAAGTGTGTCTCTAATTAGCTGCAGAATTAGGGAAGCTGAGCTTTCCCCCATAGATCCGCTCAAGCCTCCAGGGAGACTGGTGGAATAGAGAGAATCGCATTTCCAATTATTTTGTTGAATTGCTAATTTAGTTATTGTGCCTGGTGTAATTGTGATGGGTATTGGGTGTGCAATTCAATTTGTTTTAAATATTTGTGGGAAGGCTGATCAGTAATGGAGCTGACCTATTTTGTGGCCCAAATTGAGAAAAAAAAGACTACAACACAACAGCCACAAAGATAGAGTTTGTTTCCATTTTTATTTTGATTTCTCTCATCCCTCTTAAGACCATTGATGCAACAAAAGGATTAAATTAAAAGATGACAGCACTTTGATCTTCTCCCTTTGAAAGCTTAACTGTCCTTGGTAGTTTAATATGCAGCTATTTCAGGGTAGAGTTTAGATGCATTGCTGGAGTTGAGTCGTTTCTGCCTCCCAAAATTGCATTTCTGCATGTGCCTAAAAGTGATTTGGGGTACTCAACTTTCTAATAGTGTGTAAAGTAGTGGAGGTGTATCTGTAACAAATAAAGCAAAGCCGTGAGAGCCACAAGTTCGCCACTCCTACTGGGCAGAAGTCCATTGCAGAGTCCTGGAACCTTCCCTCCAGGCAGTACCATGTGCAGAGGTCGGTGGCCAGGAACCCCACCCCTGGCATTTGCATAAAGCTCGCCCCTCGGGAGCCCTGCTCCTGGTTGGTTTGAGCCTGTGCAGGTGAGAGGAGGGCTAGGTGATAAGTTCCCTCATGGCTAGCGGTGACTCTGGAACTCCTGGAGGGCCAAGCTCCAGTGTCTCTCTTCAGCCAGAGTCTGGACCGGGAGGTATGGCCAGGGAAAATCTGTGATGTAATCTTGTTTACATGCCTATTGGGTGCTGAGTCAGAAACACAGTCTGGGCCTGGGCCAGGGCTGTGGCTTGAAATCAGAGCTCTGCTGGGACCTGAGGTCACAGAAATAGATTACAGGACCCGAGCCTTGGGCACGTACGACTGAGGTTGCTCACAGGTGACTGGAACCCCTCACCCTCCACAGCGTCCCGCCGGGCCCGCCAGGCGTCCTCAGACACAGGCTAACTAGGGCTTGGTTGGGCAGGATCAGAGGGTGGCAGACCAGAGCAGATTTTCAGAAAAGGTTATAATAAAATGGGTCATAGACACGGCTGTTGTAATGAATTTGATCCTAAAGGATTCATTTTGTAACTCGATTAGCTTAGCAAGGTGCCAGGGTCAGTGTCCATGCTTAGCTGCTGAAGAGAAGTTTAAACTTCATTACTTTTATGTGAGAGCTCACCGGGACCAACTGGAGGACCTCCGCCCCAGGTGGATCTCTTTAACACGCCATTCTGGAGGAGCTGGGCCAGGGCAGCTGACGGCCGCAGCTGCTGGTCCTGAGGAGGGGCTGGGTCCCATGCGAGGACAGTGATCATTGAACCAGCCAGGCTGAAGCTGAAAAGAAACTGGCAAGCAGCTAGAGCAGCCGGGGATGGGAGGGAGAGGAGGCGTTTGTGGAAACACTTGCAGCGCAGGAGGGCAGGCTGTGGGATGTCAGTGGTAAGGTCTGTGTAGCCCCTACCCCATGATGGTGGTGGTTGTTGTTATTATTTGAGACAGTCTCACTCTGTCACCTAGGCTGGAGTGTAGTGGCATGATCTCCGCTCACTGCAACCTCCACTTCCCTAGTTCAAGCGATTCTCCTGCCTCGGCCTCCCGAGTAGCCAGGATTACAGTTGCCTGCCACCATGCCCAGCTAATTTTTGTATTTTTAGTGGAGACAGACTTTTGTCATGTTGCCCGGGCTAGTCTCCAACTCCTGACCTCAGGTGATCCGCCCGCTTTGGCCTCCCAAAGTGCTGAGATTAGAGGCATGAGCCACCGCGCCCAGCCTCCATTTTCTTCTACAGTGTTGTTACTGAGGTAGAATTTACATGCCATAAAACTCACCCGTTGTAAATGTACAATTCCGTGGTTTTTACTACGTCTGTGGCGTTGTGCTGCCACCAACACGGCCCATGTTTAGGACATTCTCATCACCCCACAAGCTCCTCTGGTGTTGCCGGAACTCCCTACTCCCAGTCCCAGGTAATTTGCCTTCTTTTCCGAACATTGCATTTAAAAAGAATCATACAGAGTGTTTGTGTCTGGCTTCTTTCGCTTGGCATGAGGTGTTTATATCTTTATTCTGGCATATGTCAGTAGTTCATTCCTTTCGATTGCTGACTAGTCTTCCATTGTGTGGATATACCACATTTTGTTGATCCTCTTGCCTACTCATGAACATTTGGATTGTTTCCAGATTTGGGCGATGATGTATGAAGCTGATAAGAGCAATCACAAGCCTTTGTGAAAGATGTTTTCATTTCCCTTGGGCAGATACCTAGGCATGGAACTGCTGAGTATGAAAGCTTATGTTTAGGCCGGGCGCGGTGGCTCACGCCTGTAATCCCAGCACTCTGGGAGGCCCAGACGGGCGGATCACGAGGTCAGGAGATCGAGACCATCCTGGCTAACACGGTGAAACCCCGTCTCTACTAAAAATACAAAAAAACTAGCCGGGCGAGGTGGCGGGCACCTGTACTCGGGAGGCAGCTACTCGGGAGGCTGAGGCAGGAGAATGGCATGAACCCGGGAGGTGGAGCTTGCAGTGAGCCGAGATCCGGCCACTGCACTCCAGCCTGGGCGACAGAGCAAGACTCCGTCTCAGGGAAAAAAAAAAAAAAAAAAGAAAGCTTATGTTTAGCTTTTTCAGAAGGTGCTAAACTGTTTTCCAAAGTGCCTGTATCACTTTATATTTACACCAGCAAAGTGTGCGGGCTCCAGTTTCTCCACATCCATGCCAACACTTGTAATTGTCTGTCTTCCAATTATAGCCTTTCTGGCAAATAGTGGATTCCCACTGTGGCTTTAATTTGTTTCCCTAGTGACAAATGATGTTGAACATCTTCTCGTGTTCATTATTCATGTATCTATCTTCTTCGGTGAAACATCTATTCACATCTTAATTTAAATTGAGTTGCCTTGTTGCCTTGTAAGGATTCTTTATATATCCTGGATTCAAGTCCTTTATCAGATATATGATCTGCAAATATTTTCTCCCAGTCTGTGAGTCAGTGGCTTGTCTTCATTTTCTTTTTCCTTTTTCTTTTCTTTCTTTTTTTTTTTTTTTTTTTTTTTTTTTTTAGATGGAGTCTCACACTGTTGCCAGGCTGGAGTGCAATGGGGCTATCTCAGCTCACTGCAATCTCTACCTGGGTTCAAGTGATTCTCCTGCCTCAGCGTCCTGAGTAGTTGGGATTACAGGCGCTTACCACCATGCCCAACTAATTTTTTCTCAGTAGAGACGGGGTTTCACCATGATGGCCAGGATGGTCTCGATCTCTTGACCTCATGATCCACCTGCCTCGGCCTCCCAAAGTGCTGGGATTACAGGCGTGAGTCACTGTGCCTGGCCGTCTTTATTTTCTTAATGGTCTCTTCTGGAGCACAAAAGGTTTTAATTTTGATGAAGCCTAATTTATCAATTTCTTTTTTCTTTTATGGATTATGTCATATCTAAGAAATCTTTACCCAATCCAAGGTCACAAAACATTTTCTCCTACTTGTCTTCTTGTGGATGTTTTATAGTTGTAACGTATATATTTAAGTCTGCAATATATTTTGAGTAAATTTTTGTCCATGGTGTAAGAGTCTAAAAATATAATTGTGTATGGATATCCGAATGTCTTGGCACCGTTTGTTGAAAAGGCTAGCTTTTCTGCCATTGAATTGTCTTGACTTCTTTGTGGAAAATCAGTTGATCCTAAATGCTAGGATTTCTTTTGAGACTCTCAATTATGTTCCATTCTATTTGCTTGTGTTTATATCTGTGAACATTTTGAAATCAGGTAGTTTAAATCTTCCAAATTTTTATCAAAATTGTTTTGAGTATTCTGAGTCCTTTGCATTTCTGTATAAATTTTAGGATACAGGGCCGGGCACGGTGGCTCACACCTGTAATCCCAGCACTTTGGGAGGCTGAGGCAGGCAGATCATGAAGTCAGGAGATCAAGACCAGCATGGTTAACATGGTGAAACCCCATCTCTACTAAAAAAAATAAAAAAAAATTAGCCAGGCCTGGTGGCAGGCGCCTGTAGTCCCAGCTACTCGGGAGGCTGAGGCAGGAGAATTGCTTGAACCTGGAAGGTGGAGGTTGCATTGAGCCAAGATCGCGCCACTGCACTCCAGCCTGGGCGACAGAGTGAGACTCCGTCTCAAAAAAAAAAAAAAAATTTAGGATACGTTTGTTAATTTATTTTGCTTGTTCTTCTTCTCCTTCTTCTTTTTGTTTTTTTTTTTTTTTTTTAGACAGGATCTTTCTCTTTCACCCAGGCTTGAGTGCAGTGGTGTAATCACGGCTCACTGCAACCTCAATCTCCCAAGCTCAAGCCATCCTCCCCACTCAGCCTCCTGAGTAGCTGGGACTGCAGGCACATGCCGCCACACCCAGCTAATTTTTTTTATTTTTTGTAGAGACAGGATCTCCTTATGTTGGCCAGGCTGATACTGAACTTTTGGGCTCAAGTGATACTCCCACCTCAGACTCTCAAAGTGCTGGGATTACAGGCATGAGCCACTGTTCCTGGCCTAAATTTGTTAATCTCTAGAAAAATGTCTGCTGGAATTTTGATAGGGATTACACGGACTCTATAGATCGATTTGGGGAGAACTACCATCCCAACAACATTGAGTCTTCTCATCCATAAACATGGACTAGCTCTTCATTTGTTTTTATTTAATTGCTCTCAGCAGTGTTTTATAATTTCAGGGAACATGTCTATTTTGTAAAATTATTCCTATGTCTTTTGTTGGTTTGGATGCTGTCAATGAAATTATTTTAATTTCATTTTAAGATTTCTTCTTGCTAGTGTATAGAAATACTATTATTGAGTTTTTAAATTAATCTTGTAGTCAGTGACTTTACTGAATGCATTTATTAGTTCTAGTTTTTAAAAATGGATTCTTCATATAGGATCATGCCATTTGTGAATAATGAGTTTTAATCTTTTCTTTCCAATCTATAAACCTTTAATTTTCGTGTAGCCTATTGCATTGGCCAGCACCTCCAGTGCAATGCTGAGAAGTAGCAAGAGCAGATATTTTTGCCTTATTCCATCTTAGAGAGAAAAGCATTCAGTCTTTCACCATCACACATGAAGTTACTTGAGGTTTTTCACAGACGCCCTTTCTCAGGTTGTGGAAATTTATTTTTATTTTTATTTTTTTGAGATAGTCTCACTCTGTAGCCCAGGCTGGAGTGCAGTGGCGCGATCTCCACTCACCACAACCTCTGCCTCCCAGGTTCAAGCAATTCTCCTGCCTCAGCCTCTCAAGCAGCTGGCATTACAGGTGCACGCCACCACACCCGGCTAATTTTTTTTTTTTTTTTTTTGGAGACAGTCTTGCTCTGTTGCCCAGGTTGGAGTATGGTGGCATGATCTTGGCTGACTGCAACCTCTGCCTCCAAGGTTCAAGTGATTCTCCTGCCTCAGTCTCCCAAGTAGCTGAGACTATGGGCATGTGGCTCCACACCCAGCTAATTTTTGTATTTTTTGGTAGAGACAGGGTTTCGACATATTGGCCCCACTGGTCTCGAACTCCTAGCCTCATGTGTTCTGCCTGCCTGGGCCTCCCAAAATGCTGGAATTACAGGCATGACCCATCGTGCCTGGCCCACACCTGGCTACATTTTACAATTTTTTTGTAGAGACAAGGTCTCACTATGTTGCCCAGGCTGGTCTCGAACTCCTAGGCTCAAGTAATTCTCCCTCCTCAGCTTCCCATAGTGC